CGGAGGGACAGCGGCCCCCTAAGGCCTCCCCAGCGCCACCTTCGACCTCCGTCTTCCCGACGCCGGAGACCTTTCCGGAGCTGAGATCAGAGAGCTTCATCTTTCCTGGAGAATAAAGTTAATTTTTTTCCTTCATCGAGGCTCCCACTGTGTCCTTCCTCCCGTCGTGGGGCAGGGGTGCGGTCGGTGGCGCTTGGAAGGTCCCCTGAAGGCCATGTTGGGACCGGCGTCCCCAAGCATTGCCCCATCAGCCCATCGCGCGGCATGTTTATGGCTGCGAGTGCACCAGGAGCACCGAGTCCAGGAGTTTTGGAGCTGGGGAGGTCACGTCCTGGCCCTCCCAGGAGGTTGGGTCCAACCCTGGTTGTCCACGGCACCAGCCAGGGCTGGAGGGGATGGTGCCCACCTCCACGTCCTGCTGCTTTCAGGTGCTGCGGGAGGTGGGCACGGAAGGTGGGATGGCTCTCAGGGCCTTCATCTGTCCCCCTTTCCTGCCGCAGGGATCACTGGGGTGCTCCCAGCCCCCAAATGGGTCTTCTGCAGTCAGGAACAGCCCAGCAGAAAGGGCTGAAGCCCCTGGGAAGCCCCCAGGGCTGCACTGGGAGCCCTCGGTCAAGGCAACTTTCCAGCTCCGTAGGGAAATATTGGACCTAATGCATATCCATTTGGTGGCTCTGCGTTGCTCCAACCCCACCGAGGACTATCTCCTTCCAAGGGCTCGCTACAAACAAGCCCAGGTCTCTCAGGTTGGATTTGGTCCATCCTGAATGATCTAGGAGAAGCCGGAGGACTCTTCTGCATTCCCGAGACGGTTCAGCCCCATAAGCTCCCTCCTCCCACCTTTTCCTTTCGAGATAAAGGACACACAGACCCAAAGCTGGTGTTAAAACCCACTTTTATCGCAATGCCAGGGTGAACTCGCTCATGCCCTTTGGGAAGGCGTGCCTCAGCCTACAGCCTTTGCCATTGCTTTGGGGGCTTTTCTCAGCTGCTCAGCTGTTGCTCCTGAAAGGCTCCTGGAGACTGGTTTTCCCACCGATTCCATTCCGGCCTGAATGTTGTTTTGTGCTCAGGCTGGGTCTCCCTCGCGGTGGTTTGTCCCAGGGTCCGCTGCAGGCTGAGCTCTGATCTTGGCACCGTCAAGGCAAACGTCAGCTTTTTAAAATAAAGGTGGGTGCAACGAATGTCTTCAAATTACGTGGGTCTCTCTGGCCGATCTCTGCCTCCTTCCTCTTCTCCCCTGCTTGTTCTCAGGTTACCAAGGGGGGAGAGGGGATGGTTTTCAGCTTCAGAGGGAGTTTTTCATGATGGGGGCAGGCCGCTTCTCTGTCCCCTTCTCCAGCATCACCTCCTGCAAGGCAGCTTTCACTTGCGAGGAGCCGACGGTCTGGAGCCGGCTGCGCCTCCGCAGGCGCTCGGCCTTGGTGGACACCTCGGTGTAGATGTTGTTCAAGAAGTCCCTCATCAGCCCCTTCGCCAGGCACGAGAGGTTGTTGTTGCCTCGGCGGAGCCGCTGGAGGATCTTGGAGTCATAGGAGTTGCCTTTTTTCCCTGGCCGGCTCTTGCGTTTCCTCATGGATTGGGATTTTGGGGATTTGGCTGGGGATTTCCGCCTGTAAGACTGCCGCCTCCGCTGCTGGTGGGATCTCCTTCGTCTTCCCATAGCAGAAGCTGTGGCTCTGTCCTGTGCTGCCTGGACCCCTCCGCCTTGCGAATGCCACTGGCCTCTCCAGCTCAGCCCTCTTATACCCAACAAGATGCAAATGAGAGGCCAGCACAGAGCCCTACCATTGGCCAGAGGGAACAATACCCTCCGGCGTGTCACAATAGCAAGATGGCTGCCCACATCCTCCCTCCCGGGGCGGGTGGGCCAGCAGGGGCCATCTTGGCCACTGCAAAGCCAATAGCTCTGCCCCGCAGCCGGGAATTCATTAATTCTGGGTTAAAACCCTGTGATTTGAGGGCGTCTCCCCATCCTGGTGGCCACTGAGGCTGGACGAGACCCGTTGTTGGCCCCAGATTTCCCAGCCGGGGCAAACGCTGAGCGGCCTCTGTCCCGTGCTTTGTCTTTTTCCACTTTCCTTGAGAGCTGTCAAATGGCTGAAGGCAAAGAGCCAACGGGTTGGTTGCTCTCAACATGGTTCCCCTCACTCAAGGGCTTTAATCACAGCTCGTGCTTTCAATCCCCACGCCACCAAGACCAGCAAAACTCAAAGCAATCAAATATCTGGCTTAATATCTTGCTTTATTAAAAGTGAGACCTCCCGCCGTCTGGCAAAGCACCTCACATACTCTTCTCTTTTAGCACTCTCTAGTCTTTAGCGTCTTAGGTCTACTGAGATGGGCAACGCCTTGTCCGTGCTCCAGGTGACTGTATCTCCTCTTAGAAATGTCTTTATCATGGCTCGCAGCAGGACTTCTGCTTTCTAGAGCAAACGAGCCTCCCTCATAGTTTTCTTCAAGCACGAGTGGTCTCAGGTACAAACTAAACCAAAGGAAACCTCTCTTCGAAAGAGAGACCGAGATATATTGGTCTCCTTGCTGATAGAAATGCTATTTTTTTGATCTTTCAAGCTCTTTCTCCAAGCGACTTTCTTGTGTGAAGAGTTGTTGCAGGCGACGCTGGTGTCTCCACGAGGGGTAGATCTTCTCGACAGCTTTGAGGTCTTGTTATCTGGCGTCTCCGCTGTCCTTCTCGCTCCGGGCTGGTGCTTGGGCTTCCTCTCCTCCCGTTACGGTGGCAGTTCTTCCGCCAGCCCGGAGGCGAAGCGGGAGGAAGGGAAGGGCGGCCTCGTTATGAGGCACCGCGGCTTTCTTCGACGGCCGACTTCTTGAGCCCTTCCTTGGGCATCACCTGCTGCAGGGCGGCCTGCAGCTCTTGGAGGCCGATGACGCAGCGGCTGCCGTCCCTCTTGCGGCACCGGGCGGCGGAGGACACCTTGTTGTACATCCGCCGCACGTAGGAGATCATGGCGCCTTTACCCTTGGCCGAGATGGGCACCCGGTCGCGGTGTAGCTGCTGGAGCATCTTGGAGACCACGAAGTCGTAGGGGCGCCGGTGGGACGCCCGGGCCCGTCGCCTCCTCTTCCCCACCCG